GTTTGAATTTTCTCTGCGCACTCCAGTTTCCTCCCAGATGAATGGAATCGACCAAGCAGTGAAAGATCCTCTTGGAAACGAGTATTGTGACTCAGAGAGGCTTTTACTGGGTAAACGCGATTGGCACTATACTATTATTACATTGAGAACAATGTGGAGCTGGTTACAATGGGCGTCCTAAGCTAATCTTTACTGCCACGCTCACAGTGCGAAAGCACTTTGGACCAATTATTTGGTGATGCTGCATTGCCAGTGGCGCACAAGCACACATAATAAAAGCAAACTCAACACATTCGTCAATAACACTGCCTTAAAAGTAAAAAAATATAAATAACAGATGATGTTGTGGGCAATGGCCCTCTGTGTTTATGAGGACCACTGCTGAAATCGTCGCCTATTATAGAGTTCCTTTTAAGGCGGCGTTATTGACGAACGTGTTTGAGCACTTTGGAACAGTCAGTTGCTAGAGAGGTCAGTGAGACGTTAAATACCGCAGTTAGCATCAGTAAAAATTCCAGTGCCGTCCACGAGATACGCATGCGAGCCCACCAGGAGTTGCGACAACCACCTCCCAATCGGCCTCTCTGCTCCCCGACTGCCTTTGACCAAATCACCGGGTGATTATGTCCGATCTCGGGAGGCCAAGCAGCGATGGGTCTGGATGGTGCTCGAATGGGCGATTAGATTTCACTCAGAGCTTGTCGTAGGGCGGTGTGGGGGCTACGTGATGGGCAGCAGACGGCACTGCAGGAACATGCATTGTTGTATTTTAATTCTATGTCCTCATGAACATGCTTTGAATGCTCGCCGACCAGCGTGCTTGAGTCTGGTCAAATAACCCACATGGCCCTCATCCATCAGCTGGATTTAAACGTGTAATTTTTGAAAAAAATACTGTAAGCATTTTAATACGAATGAGAAATGTTCATATTTGCGTATAGTCGTGTGAGCTCTCCCGTCTTACGAATGGAAACACAGTCATGGGTTCCCATTATTGACCACGGCACTGCAAGCGGCGGCCAAACATCTCTGTGCAGGACCCTGTGGAAAATGTGTCCCGTGACTCAGTTAAACCCACCCCTTTTTTCATGAAATGCACTGGGCTTCCCATAGCCTTCACTCTGGTTCAGTGGAACCGATCAAGCGTAAATGTAAAACACAGTTGAATGGGCCTACTGTATTTTTCGGAAATTACAGATGACCCACATGAAATAGGTAGTTAAATCTTGACTTAAAGCTTTCGTGACTGAAGGAATTCATATTCTCTTTGGGTCTTTCGGTAAAGTCATGTAGATAGGTTCAAAGAAAATGATACAAAAAACTACGACGTTTCGATCGCAACACAAGCGGTCGTCATCAGGAAAAGGGGGTTAGCCTTTAAAGGCAAACTGTTTATAAAGATTTAAAGATGGGTGTAGCCCACGTGTGCCAGCATCATGGGTAGGGCAGCTAATGTTAATGACGGGAAAACAACGACACCAGCAGTGGGTCTCCACTAATCAAAGGGCTGCCAGGCAAACATTGCATCTCGCTCCACACTCCCACACTGCTGACGGTGGAGGTTGCTGCTAGAGGTGATGGTAGCAGTGGGTAATGATGGTGCTGGTGGTGGGCTTCCACCAATTAAAGGGCTACCAGGTCTAAAATGGAAACATTACAGCCAGTTATGACTTTAAACTGGTTGATAACGTCCTTCCAGTGATCGCTGATTTTGTACCCATCTTCTCGGTTGAAATTGTGTCTATGTCTGTATAAATGGATGGCTTCATGAACAAATCTTTGTTGATAGCCAGTGGGTTTGCAAAGTACCTTCGTCTTCAAGAAATCAATTTCGTGTGAGCCCACCGCATTGAAGCAATGATCAGCCACGGCCAAGGTATTGGTCCTACCGTCTTTCAGATCTGCCTTATATTCACGGATTCGGTCCGAGACATGTCGCTTAGTTTCCCCAATGTAACTACTGCCGCAGATGCAGCTTAGTTTGTAGACGCCGGGGTATTGCATGTCAAGGATCACATCCTTCACAGATGGGATCAGATCACGAATCAGATCACATCTGTAGGACCAATACCTCGGCCGTGGCTGATTATTGCTTTAATGCAGTGGGCTCACACGAAATTGATTTCTCTAAGACGAAGGTACTTTACAAACCCACTGGCTATCAACAAAGATTCGTTCGTGAAGCCATCCATATATACAGAGAGACACAATTGAAACTGAGAAGATGGGTACAAACTTAGCAATCACTGGAAGGACGTTATCAACCAGTTTAAGTCATAACTGGCTGTAATGTTTCCATTTTAGACCTGGTAGCCATTTAATTGGTGAAAGCCCACCACCAGGACCATCACTGCCCACTACTACCATCACCACTAGCAGTAGCCCTTTCTTGGTGGAAGCCCACCACCAGCACCATCATTACCCACTACTTCCATCACCTCTAGCAGCAACCTCCACCGTCAGTAGTGTGGATGTGTGGAGCAAGGTGCAATGTTTGCCTGGCGGCCCTTTGATTGGTAGAGACCCACTGCCGGTGTCGTTGTTTTCCCCTACATTTACATTAGCTGCCCCACCCATGCTGCTGACAACCTTGGGCTACGCCCATCTTTAAACCTTTATAAACAGTTTGCCTTTAGAGGCTAACCCCCTTTTCCTGATGACTACCGCTTGTGTTGCGATCGAAACGTCGTAGTTTTTTGTTATTTTCTTTGAACCTATCTACATGACTTTACCGAAAGACCCAAAGATTATGAAATAGGTAGTTTACCTTTTGAAGAATTCTTATACAAGAATTGTTGCGTTAAAACGGTTTCTGTTTTGCTTTTTTTAATTTACGGAGGCAATAAGACCTTCCATGGTATACATGCCAGTATCTTGATAATAACTCCTCAATACACCTTATCATGTAGAGTCCCTTTGGTCAATCTAGGTCTGCAAGGGTCATATGGAATATTTGAGAAGACCAAAATTCACCGCGCTGGTGAGTGCGGGTTGGTTGAAGGAAAGGTCAACGTAGGAGTGGAATCATGTAAAGTGCAGGACAACCAGGGATTCTGCCGTACGGCTCTCTGCTGCTCTCCACGGAGGCCCCACAGCAGCCTACGGGCACAGGAGCCACTACTGTTCCAAGCGAGATCCAGGCTCAAAGGCAGCTTTAGTTTCGGAGATTCCACGTAGATATGGGCGCATTCCGGCGATTTGGTCTCAGGCATCGCCAACTCACTCCATTATTACCTGGGGATAAATCACGGCACCGAGGCGGCATGTGTGCGCATGCGGCTAAACAAACTACATCCCGGAGGCATACCTTTGGTTGTTTTATAACCGAGTACACAACTGAAAAGAGCTCTGCTGATCGTATCAGTCAAGTCAAGTGGCTTGAATATACACGACTCCTGCTGTGGGGGCTTCCTCACACCGCAGTGAAGTGTGTGAGTGTATATGCAGAGGTCCACGTCACCCGTGGGTTGGAGGGTCACCACCCACACGACCCGTGGATGGGTGAGTGGGAGGGTCACCACCCACACGACCCGTGGGTGGGGGGGTCACCACCCACACGACCCGTGGGTGGGTGGGTCACCACCCACACGACCCGTGGGTGGGTGGGTCACCACCCACACGACCCGTGGGTGGGTGGGGGGGTCACCACCCACACGACCCGTGGGTGGGTGGGTCACCACCCACACGGCCCGTGGGTGGGTGGGGGGGTCACCACCCACACGACCCGTGGGTGGGTGGGGGGGGGGGTCACCACCCACGCGACCCGTGGGTGGGTGGGGGGGTCACCACCCACACGACCCGTGGGTGGGGGGGGTCACCACCCACACGACCTGTGGGTGGGTGGGGGGGTCACCACCCACGCGACCCGTGGGTGGGTGGGGGGGGTCACCACCCACGCGACCCGTGGGTGGGTGGGGGGGTCACCACCCACGCGACCCGTGGGTGGGTGGGGGGGTCACCACCTACGCGACCCGTGGGTGGGTGGGGAGGTCACCACCACGCGGTTCATGTGAGGAATGTCAGAGGCATTCGGCACGGACACCGGAGGCGAGGGGCCACGCATCACACCCTGAACCTCACCAGCTACACTACTACACACACGCGATATACAACAGCAAGAGACACGTGAAGTGGGGTCCACACAGGAGATGCCTACATTCTGTGCATGCGGCTTCCACACACACTAAACAACAAAGTAACAACTCTCACACTGCACAACTACACAGCATACATTGCACAGGAACACAAACACTACACAATCACACAACACAACACAATCACTACACATCACAGGAGACCACACGCTCCACACCACGACAAACACCCACTGCAATGCAACAGGTACAACACACAACTACTGTACGATGCAGGTCACACAAGACAAAGATCCCCCGTATAGCCTTAACAGACTGTAGGGGCAAGTGCTGTTAGCGAGCAGCACCTATGAAGGCCGGAACGGTACACGAGGGGGTGGGTGGCCAGCACCACGCCCGACCGCCTTTGTCTCCACAGTGACGTTTCCACACCGCACCAGGTACTCATTTGGGGCTAAGTCGACCTAGAGGAGGCCCAGGACCAGTTCAGATAATCGTCACTGGTGTTGACCGTGAGTGAGAATCGAACCCAGGTCGCCAGGTTCATAGCGTAGCGCGCTAACCGCTACACCACCGCTCCCCATACGATGCAGGTCACACACACGACAACACACAGACACCAGCAAATGCGAGAATACACAAAGAACACACAATTGACAACATCCCCCACAACGTGTACACAACTAAACAACAACAGCGAACAGAAGTCGCAAGGACGCGAGTTTCGGGACGCGGGAGACCTCGGCTCTCATCGAACTCCCATCGCCCCCAAGTTGTCCCGAGCCTCAACTTCAGTCGCCAAGTCGTCACCACAAGCCACCCGCCTCACAACTCGAGTCCGTCAACCAACAGTCGCCTCGAGTTGCTCGGAGTCGCACCGCAGTCGCCCCCCGAAGTTGCCCTCACCTCGTCCACGGGGCAGATGTCAGCGGGAAGGGGGCTGGGGGCTCTCTGCACGGTCACCAGGGCCATGCCGCTCACATCCTCTCCCCAACGCTCCCCGAACTCTCCCTGAGCTCTATCCTCCTCCTCCCTCGCTGTCTCTCCAACCTCGCTGAACTCTCCCCCGCTTCAACTGCACGCTGTCCGAGCTCAATCCTCCCCAACTCTCCGCTCCCTTCCGCCTCTCCACCCAGCACTCTCCCCCCTCTCTATCTTCTCTCTCGTCCCCACCTCCACGCACGTTCCACGCCCTCTCTCTCTCCCCCCTCAGCACTCTCCCTTTGCGCTCTCTCTCCTCCCTCTTGTCCCCACCCACTCTCTCCTCTCTCTCTCCCCCCTCAGCACTCTCCCTTTGCGCTCTCTCCCCTCCCTCTGTTGTCCCCACCCACTCTGTACTCTCTCTCTCCCCTCAGCACTCTCCCTTTGCGCTCTCTCTCCCCCACTCTGTTGTCCCCACCCACTCTGTACTCTCTCTCTCCCCTCAGCACTCTCCCTTTGCGCTCTCTCTCCCCTCAGCACTCTCCCTTTGCGCTCTCTCCCGCCTCTCTCTGTTGTCCCCACCCACTCTGTACTCTCTCTCTCCCCTCAGCACTCTCCCTTTGCGCTCTCTCCCCTCCCTCTGTTGTCCCCACCCACTCTGTACTCTCTCTCTCCCCTCAGCACTCTCCCTTTGCGCTCTCTCCCCTCTCTCTGTTGTCCCCACCCACTCTGTACTCTCTCTCTCTCTCCCCTCAGCACTCTCCCTTTGCGCTCTCTCCCCCCTCCCTCTGTTGTCCCCACCCACTCTGTACTCTCTCTCTCTCCTCTCTACTCTCTCTCCCCTCTCTCTTTCCTCTCCTCCCCCCCTCTCCGCCCCCTCTCCCGCCTCTGACCCACTGCGCACGCGCGTAGCCCGCGTTTTTTTCCCCAGTCGCCGGTAGATGTCTTCCTCTTCCAGAAGATGCGCTCAGCCCCCTCCGCGTCTTCTCCATTCCGGTAGAGTGGCGCAGGGTCACGTGGTTCGGGGGGGGGGGGAGTTGGGGGGGGGTTGGCGAGTAACAATTAATCGATTAAAATCGATTCAACGTTCACGATTAACGCCTAACATCTTTCGTGCAATCGATTATTTTGCACTCCTCTGTTGCACTTGTTTTATCTCGCTATAAAATAATCTGCACGTTTAGTAATACGAACATATTACAGGCGAATATGATATTTAACAAAAAACAATCCATTCAATAATCTAATAGTAACGTAATAATCCCAATTCCAGGATCGATACCGCGAAAGCGGTAAGTGGGGGGGGGTCGCTGACCGGAAATGGCCGCGTGACGTCGCCGGCTCGCGGCACGTGCCGGTTGCTAGGCGATGAGAGGTAAACAAAGGCGGTCGCCAAGGTGACGGCCCAGCTGCTGCTGCGGGAAGATGGAGGGGCTGAGAGAAGGCGGCATCGCGGGGATGGCACCGGCACGGGAGCGAGCCACGGACGAGACCTCTACGCAAGGGGAATCGCACGAAGCCGAAGGATTATCCGGTCATCGAGACCTCGCAGAAGATGCCCCCGGTCACCTGGTTCACGCACAGGAGGTGTCCACTATCGAAGACCAAGCTGAAGGCATCTCACATCTTCAAGATGAGACTGACGTGTCTCAGCACACAGGTGAAACCGACACGCCTCAAATGCAACATCAGACGGACATTCCTCATCGAGATCAATCAAAAGACACCACCGATTTTCCAGGAGACACATCCGACCTTCGGGAGCAATCAAAATACACCACCAGCAGTCGAGGGCAAGAGGAAGACACCGCCGATCTTCAGGATCAAGCACAAGACGCCACCAACCTCACAGTCCGGGAGGACACCGCCCCGGGACACTCACGTCCGTCACAAGACTCCGCACCTTCGTTCGAACGCCAGACGCCGCTGGCGAGTCCTCTGGGAGGGCGTCTGCACATTCCGCTCCCGAGCGACCCTCTCGCCCGCGACTGGAGCGGCACGGACCCTGCTGCTCCACCCCACAACCTCTACCTGCTGCACAACCTGCTGCCCACACTCGTGCCCGCCATGGAGCAGCTACTGGTGGAGGCTGAGCGCAGGGGTCTGACGGGGAAACCCTCCCAGGACCCTCGCGAGCCGGGCTCCGCAGCCCTCCTCCTGGACCGGGGGTCCCAGTCCGAGGCAGGAGGCGACGTGGAGTTCCTCGGGGGCGGCCCTGGGGACTCCGACCACGTCCCGGCTCGGGCCGCGCTCAGGGACGCGGCGTGGGGGGAAGACAGCGGGCCCCTGGCTCGCTTCAACCCCGCTGACCAGCTGGCGCGGCAGCTGATGCGGGACAACCCGCGCTGGAATCACGGAGGTGCCCCAGACTCGCCCTACCTGCGGGGGCTCGCCCAGGCCGCCGGGGTCGACGTTGGGAGGCCTGGGCCGCAGGGTTTACAGTGACCGCCCGTTGACATGGAGGCGACACGCGCGACACGCGCCCCATTTGCCGGTCCACGCGCCCAATTTGCCGGTCCACGCGCCCCATTTGCCGGTCCACGCGCGTGGGACGCGTTTGTTGTTCGAGTCTATTATTTAGCAGACCTCCAGAATTTCAATCGGTCCGCTTGGCTTTTCGTTCAATATTAATCCAGCGGCATTGTACTTAAGCGAGCATTTTCTTGACCGGCTAAGGCTTTCTGGGTCTCATCAATTTACACAGTACCCATGATCTGCAACGACGCATAATGAGATTGTATACTTTATTATATAGTGTTTTGCAGTAAGAAAATAGTCTGAATACATAAGATGTTACGCCAGTGGGAAAGGTAACGCGCAGGCCGCCCGTGTATAGGGAGGGTCTTGGCCCCCCAATGAGAGCAGTGGGGATCGTGGGGGTCTCCAGCCCCCGGGGTCCCGAATTCACTTCCCACCACAGCGTCTGTGATGAGGAAGGAACTCTAGAGGAATTAAACAATTTGTCATCTGGCTCACCGGGGGGATGTGAGTGATAATCAAACACGCATTTTGTTTAACCAGGAAGGCCCAATTGAGTTCTCGAGATTATTTTTGTCAAAATATTTGAAGTTTTCAAGTTTACAGTATTTTGATTCACCAGGTGAGAATGCAATAGGCCAGGATAGTCTCGCTTGCAATAGAAACGGGAAGCATCAGTCTGCCAGTAAGGGGCAATGATTTGCTGGGTATAATTCCAATTGAGAAATGTGCGGTGCAATTTTCTAAATTTAGAAAATGTGGAGAGAGTCCTGCATTGGGATGTTCGGTCGATTCCATGCAATAGAGTTTGGTTTCGTTTGGGAGGAAACTGAAGATCCCAGAAGAAGACTGGTGGATTCAGGAATCTATTGTGCTGCTCTTACCATCTCGCGGCCCAAGTCTACGGCCCTCGTGTTTCCAAGTCACCCATCCAAGTACGGTACTAACCAGGCTCAAAGTAGCTTCGCTTTCCAGGCAGTCACCCATCCCAGATGTATTGTTGTCTATAACAGTTCCCGTACCCCGGTCATACATTTCGTAGCGGCCTCTTGTGGCTGGACGTGGCACCTGAACCCATTACACACAACGTATACTAATAAAATAAAATGTTCTGACTCACTCGGCTTTATGCATGCATCTTGAGCTTAAGAATTGATATTGATCAATCAATCGAGGTGCCGCGGTGACGAGATATTAACTACCTCGTCTGGTATACAGGAAGTCGTGGGTTCGATCCCTACCCTGACCCTTGTATATTTGGAGCTTGCATGTTCTCTCTGTGGTAGCGTGGATTTTTCCTTGGGTTCCCCGGTTTTCCCCTCCACATTTGGAAATGTGCATTTAGAGTATTTGGCTGCTACACATTTCCACACGATAAGCCACTTCGTTGAGCTATCATTTGTGACCAGCTCGCTTCAGACAAAAATACCTATATGGCTCAGCGGGCCTTAACCTGGTAAAATAAAAAAAAAGTTAGAGTCAATGACGCGCCGTTACAAGTTCACGACCACGGATGGAATTCGCGACGCCACGCGCTGTACTGCAGCGCCCTCTCGTGCTTTGCCAGCGCTCAGGCGCCGCCGTCAACAAGAGTGGTCGCATCTTGGGTACTCACGGCTCTCTCCGTACGTGACGACGATTCCATCGATCGAGTCGTTCGTGTTCAAATCCACTATGGACATTGCCTTCGTTTGTTGCTTGTTCATGCTAATGGCTCGGAATGAGGCAGTACAGACACGTACGCACGAGGCAGTGCAGACGAGGGCAGTGCCTGTTAAGCAAGTGAGGGATGATGACATCCCGGCCAAAACCGTTGACGCTACCGCGCCTCCTCGCCGACCCTCTCAGCCCTCCGGACAGATCTCGCAGCAGATACTGCTGCTGCTACAGAGGCGACACGTAATGACCTCCACGATCTGCGCTCACAATCTCCCCAGCGTCTAGCCTTAGGTCTTCCCCCTTGGTAGCGAGACCAGTGAGGACCATTCCGGTGCCTGAGCATCAACAAGTCCAAAAAAAAGGAGTCAAACGCGAATCGTGACAATTCATGGAATCTCTGGAAAAGGGGTCACGATTCCCTAAAAAAAGCCCTTCTGTGGACGACAGCTCAACTGTCCGAGAGTGCACTAGCGGCGACGTTGAATTATCGGCTAAACAACAAAAAACGAAGCAAGCTTGCTCTGTCCCGCAACGTACACGGCTCCTGTTGACTCAACGGGCACACTAAATGTCTTTGCTTCCTCACCACACCCTCACTGTGATCTATGTCGCAGCAGAGTCTGTGCTGCTATAAACCCTTCTGCCGTGAACAACTTAAGGCTCCGTGGGGCAGAGTTCCCCGAAGCCCCATCGAGGCCCACCACGCCACTGCTCCCAACGTCATCCAATCTGCCTTCTCTCAAATCACCTTGCTCAAAGAAAGTAACGTATTAACGATAGTAGCTATGCATTACACTTACAATAGTGCCGTTGGTTGCTGGCGGCTTGGCATTTTGGGCATTTAGTGGCCTGTGATCAGTAAGCGCTATTTTAAAGAACAAAACATATAAAGTCGTTACATACTGCTCGCGCCTCATGATTGATAAACACGTGCGTAAAATTACATAGGGCGTGTGTAGTAATCATCAAGAGCGTGTAACGGACATTCCTTTTGGCAAACGGTCCAAGTGGCCGGTTGTGCAACAACGAAAATCATTCAATGACATTTCCGCTTCGCTCACGTCAACGCAGAACGCAGGCTACAGGGAAATATCACTCGAGGTACGCGGTTATGCAACCGGCCACTGCTTGCATTACTCCCCCGTGCCCTTATCGCACGACGCCATCTCCACTAAGCGACGTAACAGCATTAACAAGTCTGACACGTGGTTACAGAACGTGTGTGTATGTATATCACGCGGCAAGATATAATCATAAACAAGCTTTGACCAGCCCGTGCTACGGACGAGATGATTCTTCTTCTTTCGGGCTGTAATTCTCAAGAGCGACGGCGTTGTGCGAGTGACCGGCAAGCCTCGCGACGCACCGCGACGCACACGGGCGATTTTAGGGAAGTCGTCACCGTCGATGGTCACGGGGAAACCGGTCGCAGCAAACCGTTTTCTATTGTCGATTAAAGAGTGGCTCGGACGTCAACACGTCTGATCGCTGCTCTCCACCGGTGGAGAACTGGCGTGGTTGACTCTCGGCCAGCAAAGAGTTCGCACGGCTACACCGAGTTTGCGTGCCCCGGCAGACCAAGATATGATTCGTAATGACGTCACGCGATTTTGGACGATTTTTGACCCCCCCCCCCCAGTCACACGGCGTCACAAAAAGTCAGACCCCCATCAAATATGACGTCACAAGCTCGGACCCCCCCCCCCAAAAAAATATAAAACATGCTTCAAATCACTTTAAACTATGGTCATTGTAGTGCGTATTTAATGTGGCGCTGCACTCTGATGTTGTAGGAGAAAACATTTATTAAAAGTCTATTTAATTAAGTATAACGTATTGTCTATATTTATTTAAAGTTGCGCATTTTGATGTGACGTCACATTTCTCAACCCCCCCCCCTCGTCACAAATCGTCACAAATGTCTGACCCCTCCCCCCTCCACTAGGTGCGTGACGTCATTTATGGACGGCCCCTTAGCTCGTGGCTAGATGCAACCAAGTGACTCTGCGATGACATCCATGACCACAACGCGTTAGTTTCACAGAGCGTCACGCACTTTGCATCTCGCAACGCTTTTTTGTTATACAAATTTGTAACGCGCGGAGGAGCCGCAGACGAGCGGGAAGGCAGCAGCGGCGGACAGACGGCGACGACGAGCCCGGCGCTCCGAACAATTGCCCAAGCTCTGCGGCCCACGATGTATCAAGATGTGTTCAGCTAATCGACGCGTATTCGTGCACGTGGGAGGGGAACCGGAGTAGCCTGAGAAACCCACTCGTGCGAGGGGGCAACACTAAATCCTGCACAGATGGGCCAGATTGACGCTTGTCCGCATTCCGCTCTTGTCGCCTTCTGCCGGCGAGCCGGGGGAATGTTCGCGTGATCCACTAACCCTCGCCTCCCCCCGCTGCTCTGGGTTACGGGCGTGCACAGCCACCGCCGCCTGGCATTTCTCATGACAAGTCGACGTGCTTGCCGGTGACGGGCGCCTTAAAAGTGCCCTCGTTTTTTGTCGACAAAAAAAACATCACCGCGTTTGGTCTTCACCATGCCGCCATCCGGTCACTCGCTAGCTCCTGAAGTACACCCAATTGAAGCACGTTAGATACAATAATAGATATTGCGATACATGATGGAATGTAAGTGTGTGAAGCGAGCTTCTAGAGATGAGTTAGTGGCTGCGAGGAGCTGGGGAACGGGCGCGGTTCCCACGTGATCCCCGCAGCACCAGCTGAGGGCACTTGCCGAGCTCTGGGCTAAGGCACTGACCTGCGTGTGGCAGCGCCCAGGCAGCCTCATCAATCCCCTCCTCAACCTCATCCTCAACACCATCATCCATAAAAAATAATCCTCAACACCATCCTCATCCTCAACACCATCCTCATCCTCAACCCCATCCTCATCTTCAACATCATCCTCAACACCATCCTCATCCTCAACACCATCCTCATGCTCAACACCATCCTCATCCTCAACACCATCCTCATCCTCAACCCCATCCTCATCTTCAACATCATCCTCAACACCATCCTCATCCTCAACACCATCCTCATGCTCAACACCATCCTCATCCTCAACACCATCCTCATCCTCAACACCATCCTCATCTTCAACATCATCCTCAACACCATCCTCATCCTCAACACCATCCTCATCCTCAACACCATCCTCCTCTTCAAGCCCTGCAGCTACCAAAACCTCCACGATATTTCCCATCTTTAAACAAGGCTCCCCGGGCCTTATCTCATTATTCTCTTCCTCCTGCATCACGTGCACCGTAACCTCCTCAACCTCTTCACCGGCAAACCTTCCTATGAAACATTGTTTGGTGTTACTGCTGCTGCTGCGTTTGGCAGTGGTACACACGCACAAATGACAACTCAACAATACTCCTCAACAACACTATAGCTTCACAATGACAAGTACTGTACACACTAGGCGACATTTGGGGCGATGGCCCTTCTTTCGTCGCACACGAGGAGAAAGGCCAGAGAGTCGGAGTACACCACGTGATTATTCTTTGGGTCTTCCGGTAAAGTCACGTAAATAGGTTCAAATTAATAAAAGTAAAATAAACAAAGAGCTAGGACATTTCGATCACAACACAAGCGAGTCAAGATTTACACCACGTGAGTTGGAGACTGCACGTCACAGCACGGGGCCTGAAAAGGATGCCAACTTTTTTTTGTATGTGCCCTGACGTATAGCTTTGCATGTGCATAGTTAACGATTACTAGCTGTTGAGTAAAAAACAATCCCTTCAATAATCAGAATGTGTTACTAAATGACTCATTTGTATTAAACGTATAAGATGACGCTGGTACGTTGCATCATTGGTAGAATTGTTTCTAAGGCGAATGCATAATCCACGTAACGATTACATTCCTGAGCCCAATTCTCCACCCTCCCCATGCTCCCCAGATTCCTGAACCTCCTCAACATCTTCCAAGCCCACTCATAATGAATCTCATTGTGCCATTCAAAATCTCCAATCCCATGTTCTCTTTGCACCTCTTCCACAACCCACTCATACATCTCATTCTCAGCCCCTTCATTATCCTGCACCTCATAACCACTCAGCTCCCTAAATTAATTGTGGGAACAATTACCACGCATTAGTTGTTCCCTGATTGTATACATTGGTCCATAATCGACTTGTGTCATTGTTGTTGTGATGTGTGATGCTATCGTTTTGTTAATTAAGTTCCTCGTCGCCGGAATGCAATTTCATGGTGGGGGTGATCCCAGAAGTTGGCAGTGCCCAACTACTCTCAACTCTTCTTTGCTGAAGCCGCAGTCTCCCACGGGACCACGCAGGACACTCTCAGGGGGCAAGGCTGAGAACTCTTCCTCCGTCTCTCTCTCTCTTAGGCAAGCCCAGAGCCCCCTGCTGCCTCGCTCAGGCGTGGGACGTGACTGCGAGGGGAGGCGTGAGGCCAGGTTCAGACCTCCCTTTTGCCTCAGGCGTCACCACCGCGCGCAGCCTCTGTGGGAACACGGACACTCAGGGTCATGGCTGGAGTCTCCCAGGGACAAGGGCAGCATTTCACAACCAGCAGAGTTGGGGTCTATGGGGGGGGAAGGTGGGATTCTTTCAAGGGTAAGGCTAAGATTTCACAGGGGAAAGGTTAGGGTCTGTCAGAGGCAAGGCTGGGGTGTCAGGGGCAAGGCAACGGACAAGGTTGTGGTCCTAGCTGCAAGGCTGGACTCTGAGGGGCAAGGCTGGAATCTCGGGGCCCATGTCCCGTGTGTTAATTGTGGCCTGGTTCCAGTCCTTTGCTGCGTTTCCGTTTTTGTAAGTGGAAGGAATTACTCAACTCGTACCAATGAACACAATCATTCTGTCCTTCCTCAAATCGCATCGCCTGCTAAGTGTGCTTGTTCTCAAAGTAGTACAGGCATGTGTAAATATTTGTCTGAGTCTTGAGCGCGATAATTTTTTTTTCCCAGGGAAGTGATTTCTTATTTATTTGTCCTAATCATTCTAAACGAGGGTTTTTTTCTTTTCTAATACGATAAAATGCCGCTTCTTTGAGAAAGTAAATCTGAAACGTACTCTTTGATTCTTTCGGTAAAGTCACGTAGGTATAAAATAAAATAAATCATGACGTTTCGGGCGCAACACAAGCGTCCATCGTGATTTAATTTAATTTTCTACCTACGTGACTTTACCGAAAGAACCAAAGAGTATGGATCCCTGCAGTGACGAAAACTTCAAATCTAGATTAAATCTGAAACGGTGGTGACTCTAAGGTCCATTCGACTGGAGACGCTGATATGGGGGGGGGGGGGCGTGGGGGGGCACTGATATCCACAGCCGCAGTGTACGACTCCACGAACGGTGCTGAGACGAAGATCAGACCCTGCAAGTCAGTCACGAGTGGCCGACTGCTGTGGAATCTGGCAGGAGGAAGCGATGGCGGTGGAGGTACCGATGGTGGCCTTTTTAACTTCAACTGGAATGCCCCAAAGCGTGAGTTGGTGGGGTACGCTTGGGACACCGCTGTCCATTCGTGTGGACCGCACTGACCACCACCACCACCACGGCCACGGAATCGCCCAGTGCTGCGCCGCTATCAGCTGCCACCACCACGGCGGGAGGTGTCTTCATGAGCGTGTTCGTGCGTTGCGCCCAGGGAACGATAAGAGCGGGGAATGGGGCGCGATAAGCGGCGGCTCTGTCAAATGGGGGAAGTTGCGGTGACCCGGGCAGGGCGGCTCCACTCGTTTTAATAATAATAATATTGTGGTCGTCTATTTACCCTGGGCAGCCTCGGCGGGAACCTCGCTCTTTTGTCTTCAGGAAGGTCACGGCATCGGAGTGCTTGGTCACCTCGTTATTGAGTGCTGTGCGTGTGGCAGGAAACCGGGGCACGCTGCTAATTAAAAAAAACTAATTCCGATCTGCGGATAACATTCACCGTTGCACCCACATATTGTGGAAAAATGAACCGACTTGCTGTGCTGCCTTCTATTTGGCCACCTAGACATCGAGTGTGTTTTGGAGGTCTCACCAGATTGGTGATCTCTGCGTGATCCACCAACCCTGGCTACTCCACTTGGGTCCCCTAGGCTGCTGGACTACCACACTCAACAAATACTCCACCACCGTTTATTGGCTCCCGTAACGAGGTCCCGGTCAACCCTGACCTTCACTCTTAACTATGACCCCGACTCTGCCCCTGATGGCAACACAGTCCCCCAATCCCAACCACAACCTTTTACAAGAATCTGACCTCGACTCCTCAGCTGAACCTGACCCCTCAGCTGACCCCGTCCCCTCACCTGCCACAGTGAGCCGGGCGCGCGGATCAGCGCGTAGACCATGTAGAGTGGCACACATACGAAGGAGGAGGCCGACACCACGTAGCCCACGGAGATGCTCCACGGGGGGAACGTGTAGTCAAAGAGCTGCAGCTGCGGACTCGTCAGCAGGAAGCTCAAGCAGATTAACTGCGGAGAGAGCGATGGAGATCGGGGAGGGAGCGGGGAAGAGTCGGAGGAAAGGGGGCGAGCAGAGAGAGATACGAAAGGACAGAGAGGGGAGAGCTCACGAGGAAGATCTCGCATCCTCACAGGGAAATCTGCAAGGACGAGGTCTATGGCTGATCATCATTCTCATATCTCAGAATCGATAACTTTATTGCCTTCTCGCACCACACGGCTACGTTTAGAATTGGTTACTGATTTTAAAAACAAAGTGATCCCAGAATCAACGACAAACAATGATAAACCTCGTTAAATATAAAATAATACTCAAAACCAAGACCCAGCAGAAATGGCGGAGCCAGGATTTTCAGGTAGAGGGGCAACTCCTCCAGCAATGAAAAATGATAGAGGAGTTGTTAGTAAGTAAGGAGTTGTTTGTAAGGACTTGTCCCTTGCTTTTTATTTGACGCGTGTGCGGCGATGGCGCAGCCATCGATCGAGGGTCGAATTCGAACCCCGTTGTGTGATCGGCATCGCGCTCGCTGAAGGTGTTGATGCCTTCAGGGGAGTCGTGGACTCTGTATACGAAACTGCGCACAATTCTGTGAGTCACTTATAACTGCTTTGTCGTTACTTATTGCAATTTATGGACTCATACTATTGTCCTGTCATCTCATAGAGTCCCTGGCATGTAATAATATGCTACACAGTGGCAGTGGGGGTCGCAAAATACCGATTTATTACTAATAAACCCCAATGATCCGATCGAAATTAGGGATTTCGATCGGATCATTGGGGGGGCACGTGCCACCCCCCCCACCCCCCACTGCCTCCGCCAGTAGCAGTCGCCAAGAAGGACATCTCGGCTCCAGGCGTATTTGAGAATCTGTAGCAGGTGAGTTAAAACATGACATCGGGTGGTTTGAGAAACCTCTCCCAGGTGTGTTGATAATAATCTTCATAAGACATTGAATTCTACCACAAAGTGTGTTGAAATATTCTCCGAGTGGACAGCGCGGCGTTCTTCACATTGCAAGACCCGCAGGAACACTTGCAACCTCCAATGGTTTCAAGCGTGTGGCGGCCCTCACACTGATGGTGTCTCATCGGCGCAAGTGCTGCCCCCACCCCACCCTGCACCCCACTCTGAAAATGAAGTGCATAAGACTAGGATATTTACATAAGCGCCTAGAGCAGAGGAAACATGCACCGGGTGAGTGCACCTGATGTGTTGGACTCACGGAGAGGAAGACGGGCGAGAATACCGCCCAGCACACCTGCCAGAACAAGCCGGGCGTGAAGCCCAGCATGTCCCTAATGTCCGAGGAGAACCGCCTGACACCTGCGGAGCGGACAGGTGGATCAGGCGCGGGGCTGTATACAAACACTCCGGCCAATACGAAGATGAACAGTCCCCGCGTAGCCTTCACGCACTGTTGGGGCAAGTGCTGTTAGCGAGCACACCTATGAAGGCCGGAACGGCGCACGAGGGGTTGGTGTGAACGGAACACCACGCCCGGCCGCCTTACACGCACAAGGCAAATACCCCGCTTATAACCTGTACAGATTGTTGGGGCAAGTGCTGTTAGGGAGCACACCTATGAAGGCCGGAACGGCGCACGAGGGGGTGGGTGGCCAACACCACGCCCAGCCGCCTTTGTTTCCCCAGTGGCGATGTTTGCACACCGCATCAGTTACTCAGTTACGGCTGAGTCGACCTAGGGGAGGCCCATGACAGCCGCTCCCCACACACACAGACATACACAGACATACAGTGAGGGAAAAAAAGTATTTGATCCACTGCTGATTTTGTATGTTTGCCCACTGACAAAGAAATGATCAATCTATAATTTTAATAGTAGGTTTATTTGAACAGTGAGAGACAGAATAACAACAAAAAAATCCAGAAAAACGCATGTCAAAAATGTTATAAATTGATTTGCGGCTGGGGTTGGCATCGTCCCCCACTCCTCCTGATGTCGAGGGTAAATGGGCGAGGTTTAGGACTGTCACTCATGCAGCTGCATTGGCTGCTTTGGATACGCGGTCCAGACCTCCCCAGAGACCCTGTCTGACAGAGGAGGTGTTCAGGATAGTGGAGAAAAAGCGACAGGCCCACTGTCATCGGCTACAGAATCCCACGTAAGAGAATGAGGAGGCTTACCGCACGACTGTCCACCCCTCAGACACACACACACAGACACACACGCTCTCCACACACACACAGACACACACGCTCTCCACACACACACACAGATACACACACACAGACACACAGGCACACACGCTCTCCACACACACACAGACACACAGACACACACGCTCTCCACACACACACAGACACACACAGACACACACGCTCTCCACACACAGACACAGACACACACGCTCTCCACACACACACACAGACACACATAGACACACACACTCTCCACACACAGACACACATAGACACACACGCTCTCCACACACAAACAGACACACACAGACACACACGCTCTCCACACACAGACACAGACACACACGCTCTCCACACACACACACAGACACATAGACACGCACAAACAGACACACACACACACAGACACACACGCTCTCCACACACACACAGACACACACAGACACACACGCTCTCCACACACAGACATAGACACACACACTCTCCACACACACGCAGACACACACGCTCTCCACACACACACAGACACACACAGACACACACGCTCTCCACACAGACACACATAGACACACACACAGACACAGACACACACACGCTCTCCACACACACACAGACACACATAGACACACACTCTCCACACACACACAGACACACATAGACACATACACTCTCCAGACACACACACAGACACACACGCTCTCCACACACACACACACACAGACACACACAGACACATAGACACACACGCTCTCCACACACACACAGACACACGCATACTCACACCCTCCCCACACACAGACACAGACACACACACGCTCTCCACACACAGACACACATAGACACACAGACACACACACAGACACACACAGACACACACGCTCTCCACACAGACACACACACAGACACACACGCTCTCCACACACACACACAGACACACACCCTCCCCACACACACACAGACACACACCCTCCCCACACACAGACACAGACACACACGCTCTCCACACACACACACACACCCTCCCCACACACACACACACAGACACACACCCTCCCCACACACAGACACAGACACACACGCTCTCCACACACACACAGACACACACACACAGACACACATAGACACACACGCTCTCCACACACAGACACACACCCTCCCCACATATAGACACAGGCACACACGCTCTCCACACACACACAGACACACACACACATAGACACACACGCTCTCCACACACACACACAGACACACACACAGACACCCACAGACGCGCAGCTGCACGCAGCCCCATCATCTAAGACGCCACTCTGGATATTCCAGCTGGTGGTTGACGCGGCAGGTTGACTGAGTGCGGATATCAGAGGTCACTCCATCGGGGGTCCGGGTGAAAAGGGAGGGGGTACGGGTAGGCACAGGGGCCAGGGAGAAGAAGGGGGGTGAGGATGGAATAAATGGGGATCAGGAGGGGGGTGGGTGGGGGGAGAGTCCGTGCCGTAGAACCAGGAGACAGCGATGGACTCGAACAAAACCACAGCGATGATGGCGACTCCGGTACCAAACTCCTCCAGCAGTTTCACCACATAGGCGCCTCCCTGACACACAGCACAGCGCGCATAGCATGCCGCGTGTAACATAGCATGCACAGCATAGCCCATACAGCACCACGCGTAGCACAGCACGCAAAGTGAATCACGCACAGCACACGACGCATAGCGGAGCACGGCGCACTACGCATAGCGTCCCACGCGTAGCACAGCACCCGCTACCGCCCCCTATCGAACTCTACCACCTCGGCCACAGTTTGATTTGAAACTGTCGATTATTTACGATAACTTCGTTTGACAGCATGATACGCTCCTCCGATTAAATCTTAGTACGATAGTCACCCCGCACCTGCTTAATGTTTACATAATGCCTTCTAGTAGTTGTACCATGATCAGTCTAAAAATAATCTTCCCGAGCCGATTTGCGCTGCATGGAGTGCAATATTTAACTCGTATTACACATTCATTTGTGTCTGTGAAAATGCTTTCAATGTACCACGTGATGCGGTTGTTTTTTGTCGCTATTTCTATTCACTTCACTTTTTTATGGTGATCGAGGTCTCCATCTGAACCCTTACTCCATCTCAAGCCTCAAGACGGGCGACTCTACACACAGCACGCACATTACACGGAGTACGCCACGTCTCACCCACGTCAACGCGCATAGGACACCACGTCTCGTGTGCAGCACACAACAATCACGCATAGACCATGACGTCCCATGCACAGCACCACGCATAGTACATCACGTCCCGCGGGCAGCACACACCACTACCAGTGCGTAGGCCACCTTGATTCCCGCGAGGTTACTCAGTGAGACTCACCTGTGTGAGTGTGACTCGGTCTCACCTGCGTGAGTTCGTGACCGACCTGTGTAATTGAGAGACTCGCCTGGGCGAACGAGAGTCTCACGTGTGTGAGTGAGGGCCTTACCTGCGTGGGTGACTCGCCTGTGTGAGTCTCACCTGTGTGAGTGATAGACTCACCTGCGTGAGCGAGACACTCACCTGGGGGAGCGGGGAGACTCACCTGTGTGAGTGATAGACTCACCTGGAGGAGCGAGACACTCACCTGTGTGAGTGATAGACTCACCTGGGGGAGCGGGAGACTCACCTGTGTGAGTGATAGACTCACCTGGAGGAGCGAGGCACTCACCTGTGTGAGTGATAGACTCACCTGTGTGAGTGATAGACTCACTTGGAGGAGTGAGAGACTCACCTGTGTGAGTGATAGACTCACCTGTGTGAGTGATAGACTCACCTGGAGGAGCGAGACACTCACCTGTGTGAGTGATAGACTCACCTGGAGGAGCGAGACACTCACCTGTGTGAGTGATAAACTCACCTGCGTGAGTGATAGCCTCACCTGTGTGAGTGATAGACTCACCTGTGTGAGTGATAGACTCACCTGGGGGAGCGAGAGACTCACCTGTGTGAGTGATAGACTCACCTGCGTGAGCGAGCCACTCACCTGCGTGAGCGTGCTGAGCGAGCCCAGGAAGCAGGTGAACACCACGAGGAGCAGGAGGAGTCCGCGGCGCCGCGAGAACACGCTGGGGAACTCGTCGGTCACGGCCGTGACGATCGCCTCCAGCCCTCCGAACTACACACGTCGTCGCCAACGTCACCGCCATCAGCCGTCATCAATCCACTGCTGGATGAATTCCTCCCCAAGCCGCCGCCGCTCTCGCCGCCTCTCACGGCCACGCAACGCAACCAGTCAGCTACATGTGTAGTAGTAGCTACATGTGTAGTAGTAGCTACATGTGTAGTAGCTACATGTGTAGTAGCTACATGTGTAGTAGTAGCTACATGTGTAGTAGCTACATGTATAGTAGCTACATGTGTAGTAGTAGCTACGTGTGTAGTAGCTACATGTGTAGTAGCTACATGTGTAGTAGTAGCGACACGTGTAGTAGCTACATGTATAGTAGCTACATGTATAGTAGCTACATGTGTAGTAGTAGCTACGTGTGTAGTAGCTACATGTGTAGTAGCTACATGTGTAGTAGTAGCGACACGTGTAGTAGCTACATGTGTAGTAGCTACATGTGTAGTAGTAGCTACATGTGTAGTAGCTATATGTGTAGTAGTAGCGACACGTGTAGTAGCTACATGTATAGTAGCTACATGTATAGTAGCTACATGTGTAGTAGTAGCTACGTGTGTAGTAGCTACATGTATAGTAGCTACATGTGTAGTAGTTGCTACACGTGTAGTAGCTACACATGTAGTAGCTACGTGTGTAGTAGCTACATGTGTAGTAGCAGCTACATGTGTAGTAGTAGCTACATGTGTAGTAGCTACATGTGTAGTAGCTACATGTGTAGTAGTAGCTACAACACGTGTAGTAGTAGCACGTGTAGTAGCTACATGTGTAGTAGTAGCTGCACGTGTAGTAGCTACACGTGTAGTAGCTACATGTGTAGTAGTAACTACATGTGTAGTAGCTACATGAGTAGTAGCTACACGTGTAGTAGTAGTTACAACACGTGTAGTAGCTACATGTGTAGTAACTACATGTGTAGTAGTAGCTACATGTGTAGTAGTAGCTACACATGTAGTAGTAGCTACATGTGTAGTAGTAGTTACAACACGTGTAGTAGCTACATGTGTAGTAGTAGTTACAACACGTGTAGTAGCTACACGTGTAGTAGCTACACGTGTAGTAGTAGCTACAACACGTGTAGTAGCTACAACACGTGTAGTAACTACACGTGTAGTAGCTATATGTAGCTACACGTGTAGTAGCTACATGTGTAGTAGCTACACGTGTAATAGCTACTACATGTGTAGTAGCTACTACATGTGTAGTAGTAGCTACGTGTGTAGTAGCTACATGTGTAGTAGCTACGGGCCCCATACTTTCAAGGGCCCCGCGCTAAATGCTTTCAAGCTATCAATTCCGGTTCAGTGATTCTGCACTTGCTCTATTACTATAGTACTGTACCGCCTTCAACTTTTATGAACGACTGGGTGTTTAAGGTTCGCGATTTGTCGCATTGTCTGGCTGTACAGCAAATGTAGTAGTTGTAACTACTACTACACGTGTAGCTACTACACGTGTTGTAGTAGCTACTACACGTGTTGTAACTACTACTACACGTGTTGTAACTACTACTACACGTGTAGTAGCTACTACACGTGTTGTAGTAGCTACTACACGTGTTGTAGCCACTACACGTGTAGCTACTACACGTGTTGTAGCTACTACACGTGTTGTAGCTACTACACGTGTTGTAACTACTACTACACGTATAGCTACTACACGTGTTGTAGCTACTACACGTGTAGCTACTACACGTGTTGTAACTACTACTACAAATGTAGCTACTACACGTGTTGTAACTACTAGTACACGTGTAGCTACTACACGTGTTGTAACTACTACTACACATGTAGCTACTACACATGTAGCTACTACACATGTAGCTACTAAACGTGGTGTAGCTGCTACTACACATGTAGCTACTACTACACATGTAGCTACAACACGTGTTGTAACTACTACTACACATGTAGCTACTACACGTGTTGTAACTACTACTACACGTGTAGTTACTACACGTGTTGTAACTACTACTACACATGTAACTACTACACATGTAGCTACTACACATGTAGCTACTACTACACATGTAGCTACTACACATGTAACTACTACTACACATGTAGCTACTACTACACATGTAACTACTACACGTGTTGTAACTACTACTACACATGTAGCTACTACTACACATGTAGCTACTACACGTGTAACTACTACACATGTAACTACTACACATGTAGCTACTACACTGCTCGGAGCACCGAGTGCGATGGCGCGGACGGTCGCGCCGCTCCACCCGCTCGCTCGTGCGACGGGCCGGCCTCCGCAGACGGCCGCTCCTCGCGACCACCACTTTGCTCCACAGTCCGTAGGCTACACGGTGGATCTGTCTGCGTGTGTGTGTGTCTGTGTGCGCCATAGCAGGTGATGCTGGTGTCTAACCAGGGTCGGGTGAAGTCAGGTGAGGTGACCTGAATTGAGTTGGAGGTCAGGTGAGGTGAGGTTAAAACACCAAACTGAAACGTTTCACAAGGAATCATGGTCTGCATTAACCACAATGATTGTGGTCAGAATTTAAATTTTAAAAAGACACTCTGATAATAGACCAGACGACGCCTTTTGGCCTTTTGGCGTCCTCTGGTCTAGCACCGTTTGAGACGAGGCTCGAAAGAAAGCCGTCTCTGGTATGGACCAATCAGTTTCAAAGACAATGCATCATATTATCAGAATGTGTTTTTTTAATTTTTGGTTCTTTCGGTAAAGTCACGTAGAAGGGAAATAATAAAATAATACAAATAAAACTATTAAATTCTCAGTGATAAAATTCTTACTGAGAATTGTAATTTTATTATTTTATTATTTCCTTTCTACGTGACTTTGCCGAAAGAACCAAGAATATGAATCCCTGCAGTCACGAAAGCTTTAAATCGAAATTTTATGTTTTTTTTGTTTGCATTCTGACCACAGGCATTGTGGTTAATGCAGACTATGATTTCTTGTAAAAAGTTTCACATTTGGTGTTTTAACATCTTAACACCTGTTTTGTTGCCAGAAAAAATGGGGGAAAAAACCCTGTGATCATAGTTTGGTACTGGCAAAGGAGGTCCCATGATGAGGTGAGGTTAGTTGAGGTGAGGTGAGTCAGGTGAGGTGCGTTGAAGTGAGGCAAGGTGAGGTGAGTCAGGCGATGCGAGGTGAGTGAGATGAGGTGTAGCGAGGTGAGTGAGATGAGGTGAGTGCGATGAGGTGATGCGAGGTGAGTGCGATGAGGTGAGGTGAGTGAGATGAGGTGTAGCGAGGTGAGTGAGATGAGGTGAGTGAGATGAGGTGAGTGAGATGAGGTGAGTGAGATTAGATGAGGTGAGTGAGATGAGGTGAGGTGAGTGAGATGAGATGAGGTGAGTGATGCGAGGTGAGTGAGATGAGGTGTAGCGAGGTGAGTGAGATGAGGTGAGGTGAGTGAGATGAGGTGAGGTGAGTGAGATGAGGTGTAGCGAGGTGAGTGAGATGAGGTGAGTGAGATGAGGTGAGTGAGATGAGGTGAGGTGAGTGAGATGAGGTGAGATGAGGTGAGTGAGATGAGATGAGGTGAGATGAGGTGAGTGAGATGAGGTGTAGCGAGGTGAGTGAGATGAGGTGAGTGAGATGAGGTGAGTGAGATGAGGAGGTGAGACCGTGTCGCACCGTGCTGTCCAGCCCCAGGGTGATCATCATGATGAAGAAGATGACGGCGAAGAATGGCGCGGCGGGCATCGTGGCGATCGCCTCGGGGTAGGTGATGAAGAGAAGGCTCGGGCCTGCGGGGAGGGAGTGGGACGTCCATTACTCTACTGGGGGGTACCCACAGGTGAGCCCCCCCCCTCTCACTGTGCGCCCACCAGGGGAGGGGGAGAATGAAAACCCCTCCGCAAACCATCCCCTCTCATCCCCTCACATCCCTCCTCCTGTCGCATCGCCGCAGGTGGTGGTGGTGGAGGTGATGGTGGTGGAGGTGGTGGTGGTAGTGGTGGAGGTGGTGGTAGAGGTAATGGTGGAGGTGGTGATGGTGGTGGTGGTGGTAGAGGTGGTGGTAGTGGTGGTGGTGGAGGTGATGGTGGAGGTGATGGTGGTGGTGGAGGTGGTGGTGATGGTGATGGTGGTGGAGGTGGTGGTGGTGGTAGAGGTGGTAGTGGTGGTGATGGTGGTGGAGCTCTCGCCAATATTCCTCGCCACGTCCTCCACCTCCTCGCCGCGCCTCTCCGCCAAGTATCCCAGCACAGTGAAGATGACGAAGCCCGAGATGAAACTCGTGGCGCAGTTGATGAAGCTGGTCACAATCGCGTCCCTACGCAGCACGGGGACACGGGGGCCAGTCACGTCCATTGTGGTTGCCGCGGTTGTGTCTGCGTTCGGCGCAGGTGGGTTGCGATTCGCACCTGTACAGGTTGTTGTGGTAGGGGTTGTAGCTCGCCAGCGCCAACAAAACCCCGAAGCCGGGGCCCAGCGAGAAGAACACCTGGGCCGCTGCTGCGACCCACACCTGAGACACGGGGAGCCGACGACGACTCGAGCTCATCATTCATTCTGCGCGGCCAGGAGAGAGACGCTCAAAGAAACCCCGGCACGAGTCTCGTTTGGCAACAGCGCCCTGGGGTGGTCACCAGAGTGGCACCGGCGAAGATGGCTGAGCGCTCCTTCGTCGGAGTATAATTATATTTTCTAGAAAGGTGTTCAGATTAAGTTGGGACCGGCGCTTCCCTCTGGTGGGAGGTGGCGGGGGGCCTCTACCCCCCCCCCCACCTCTGGGGGGGGGGCAATTAACTCTGCGCGCGCGAGCCTCATCACGCCGCGATGCATCATGGGAATCACACGAGTTACACACGTAGGGTGATAAATCCACTACTTAGAGTCACCGTCGTCACCCTCACTCACCATCACCTCACCAACTCACACTCACCACCGTCACCTCCACTCACCATCACCTCACCAACTCACCCTCACTCACCATCGGCACTCTCACTCACCATCACCTCACCAACTCACCCTCACTCACCATCACCTCCACTCACCATCACCTCACCAACTCACCCTCACTCACCATCGTCACCTCCACTCACCATCACCTCACCAACTCACCCTCACTCACCATCGTCACCCCCACTCACCATCACCTCACCAACTCACCCTCACTCACCATCGTCACCCCCACTCACCATCACCTCACCAACTCACCCTCACTCACCATCGTCACCCCCACTAACCATCACCTCACCAACTCACCCTCACTCACCATCGTCACCCTCACTCACCATCACCTCACCAACTCACCCTCACTCACCAGCTCACCCTCACAAACTCGCACACGCACCGCCACCCATCATCACCCACTCATCATGCACTCGCTCACAACCCGGGTCCCAACATTAGACCCCGATAGGGGACCCCCGTCAGTCCCTCGCGGGCCCCCACTCCTCGTACCCCGCTGTCGAGGAGGCGCCCCCAGTTGGGGGTGAGGTAGAAGCGGACGCCACGCCACGCCCCGGGCAGGGTGGCGCCGCGCACCAGCAGCACGGCCAGCACCACGTAGGGGAAGGTGGCGGTGAACCACACCACCTGCAGCCGTCACGCCACGCCGCGCTCAGCCACGCCGCGCTCGGCCACGCCGCGCTCAGCCACGCCGCGCTCAGCCACGCCATTCCCCCCCAGAATTGACAAACAGCAATGTCCCCACTGTCTCCTCTCACTCCCGATCAGCACAATCACCCCCCCACCTCCACCACTTCCCAACAGATGGAGATTGGGGCGAGAGGGGGAGGGGTCCCGTTACGTCTCAAGACCCCCCCCCCCCAAGCGCCCCCCCCCCCCCCCAGGAACTCGCCTTGCCGGACGTGCGCACCCCCCTCCACAGGGAGAGGTAGACGATGAGGAAGATGAGCGCGATGCACCCCACGAGCGGCCAACGCAACGACCCCACGTCCTCCAGCCCCCACGCGTTCTGCAGGCCCAGCACGTGCCGCCTGCAAGCGCCACGGCACACCGCGCCGGGCTTGGTGGCGGCCGTGGTGGTGGTGGTGGCCGTGGTGGTGGTGGTGGCCGTGGTAATGGTGGTAGAGTGTGGCGCGTGGAGGGGGGAGCGGTGGCACGGTGATTAGCGCGCTCCGCTACGAACCCGGTCACCCGAGTTCAATTCCCGCTCACGGCCAACACCGGTGACAGTGAATCTTTGAATAGGTTGTTGGTGCGGTGTTTAAATATTATCAGTAGGGAGACACAGGCGGTCAGATGCTGTATGTACGATGAACTTCTTTGGCACCGTACGTAGCCAACCGTGCCAATCGGAGGCGTGGTGTTGGTCACCCACCCCTGGTGCGCGACGCCGGCCTTCGTAGGTGTTGCTCGCCAACAGCGCTTGGCCCAACAGTCTGATAGGGCTACACGGGGGATCGTTGTCTTAGAAGGGATGTGATGATGTTGGTGATGGTAGTCGTAGCGATGATGCGTTCTACGCATGTCCCGCTGTTGTGCATTGAAAATGTTTGATTCTGCTACTGATACTCCCGCTGTTATGGAGTGACTCATGCTGCCAGCTATGGCTGTACATGTTATGTATATCGTTTATTGTTACATTTTGAATCACAGTTCCTATGATCCCTGTTACACTGTTTTTATAGCTTTATTTTGGCGATTTCGAAAACGTTTTGGTTTAGCCATATTTGTTTGTTGTAGTACAGAGTTAGACTGATAACTTTAATCTAAATTGTTTTATGATTATTGTTTGACTTGCATCCCACTGTGATTTTTGCACACAGCGTTGAAATACGGTGCTCTTTCTGCAAGACTTTGCTGTTTTTTCCTAGATTTTTCTATTGCGCGTAGTCACTTTAAGATGTTTTCTTGTTCATGTTTTTTGTTTGTTGCGGTTGCACCCGATTCAAGAGCCGCATGGATCACAGGGCTATACAAAATACATAAACGGAACTGTCCTCTTGTTCCACGCGTTCCCCGCTGTGGCCCCCTGCTCGTCCCGCCCGCCCATGTCCCACACGTGACTCCGGTGTCACCCTGTCTGCCCCACCGTCCCCCCCCCCACACATCCCCCCCCCCATCTCACACCGACGCAGCTCACGTATAGAACTCCTCGGCGGGCGATCGCGAGTGCGCCCCCCACGTGGCGTTATCGCGCAGGAAGTAGTCGGAGCAGTTGGGAGTGTTCCAGGCGTGGCCGCAGTTCGCCCAGGGCAGCTCCGTGGTGAGGCTCGAGTAGAGATAGAGCAGGGCCCAGGCGATGACCGTGTTGTAGTAGAAGGCGACGTAGAGCGACATCACGCAGATTGCGTAGCCCACGCCTGGCCGGGGGGGGGGGGGGGGGGGGGGTTGGGGGTCGGATCCCCGGTGTTGGGGGGGGGGGTACAGCAGAGAGCGACACCTGCACACGGGCACCTCGAGACACTAGCACATGGGTATACAGACACACCTGTATATACACACACACACACACCTGTATACACACACACCTGTATATACACACACCTGTATATACACACACCTGTATACACACACCTGCATACACACACACACACCTGTACACCTGTTTACATTCACACCTGTATACGACCACACCTGTGCACTACGCTGCAGCTGTATGCCCGAGTGTCCTGACACCCCGCTCCCCGCCCGGATCCCCGTACCTTTGAAGAGGGGGCAGATCTTGCTCCACAGTGAGATGGCTCCCGTTCGGTGGAACTGCCCCAGCGCCAGCTCCATGTAGAAGAGGGGGACCCCCCCAAACACAACCATCACTATGTAGGGGAAGAGGAAGGCGCCTGGGGGAGGGTGGCGCGGAGGAGGGGGGGGGACAGCCATCCGGGACCCCCGTGGTAGCCGGGTTAGTCGAGGGAGAGATCGGAGACCGGGCAGCTGCATCTGACCGTAGAGGAAACGCGACACGGTTAGACTTCGGGCAGCGGACAAGGGGTTAGCGCAGGGCACCCCCGCAGCATCTGGGGGACTAAAGTGAGCTGAACCCTGACCCCCCCCTCCCCTACTGAAGCTTCAGCCCCCCCCCCCCCCCACGTTCTAAATTCTCAGAGTCAAATGCACGCGATCGCTTGCGCGATGTTTCACACGAGCGGCCAGTATCGCTCCACCCGCTGTCGCCTTTCACATTTGCTCCGAGTTGGTTTAACGCGGACCATGCTCCAGGCAACGTTGCAGTCCCGCGGCGCAGATGAGAAAGTCTGAATGAACGAGTTCGGTTTGGTCATCGCTGGAGATGGAACACCTCGGGCACGCGTGGCCGGGGCGGCGCGCGTGCGGTCATCACGGTGGAGATGCGTGCGCTCACACACTCACACTCGTGTCGTGGAGATGCGTGCACACTCACACACTCACACTCGTGTGGAGATGCGTGCACACTCACACTCGTATCGTAGTGATGCGTGCACACTCACACACTCACACTCGTGTCGTGGAGATGCGTGCACACTCACACTCGTGTCGTAGTGATGCGTGCACACTCACTCACTCACACTCGTGTCGTAGTGATGCGTGCACACTCACACTCGTGTCGTAGTGATGCGTCCACACTCACACTCGTGTCGTGGTGATGCGTGCACTCACACTCGTATCGTAGTGATGCGTGCACACTCACACTCGTGTCGTAGTGATACGTGCACACTCACACTCGTGTCGTAGTGATACGTGCACACTCACACACTTACACTCGTGTGGAGATGCGTGCACACTCACACTCATGTCGTGGTGATGCGTGCACACTCACACTCACTCACACTCGTGTCGTGGTGATGCGTGCACTCACACACACTCGTGTCGTGGTGATGCGTGCACACTCACACACACACTCACACTCTTGTCGGTGGCGATCGGCGGTTCAACCTCGCGTGGGCCACCGTTAGGTACACTCGGCCCTAAACGAGTAGCCCGACACGCCTCGTGGACATTACGGGGTTTGGGAAAGACAAAGGCGGACACGCGCGCGCACGCACACGCGGGCGCGCGCGCGGTGTTGCACCGCGCACCAAACGCGGTCGCGTCGCGTGCGGAGCGGCCTTCGATAGCTGCTCGCCCACAGCACCGTGCGCCCGGAGTCGACGATTCGTGCCCCCCTCCCCGCCCTACTCGTCAGTCGCCCCGAGTCATGTTTATTAACCCGGAGATTCAATGACCCCCAGAAAGGTTGAGGAAGCAACGCTCTGCTGTCAGGGCGACCTGTATCTGTGTGTGTGTGTTAAACTTCTTTTGCACCGCTCACTGCCAACCGTGCTGGGTTACATCGAGACATTTAAAGCGTACAGATGTTGAAACGTTTTACGTCTAACAAAGTTCAGATAAATGTAACAACAATTGAACGTAACACACAAACAATGTTGAATGACGCTCAAGTAAAAACGGTAGAGTGCACGTTTACAATGTTGAGTACACGAGAAGGATTGTTGAACCACCGAGCGAGACCTACACACTCCCGCACAACCACCACCACCTAGACACTCTCCACACTCCCGCACCACCACCACCACCTAGACACTCTCCACACTCCCGCACAACCACCACCACCTAGACACTCTCCACACTCCCGCACAACCACCACCACCTAGACACTCTCCACACTCCCGCACAACCACCACCACGACCACCACCTCACCGGCACCCTCCGCGCGTGGAGGTGTCTTGGGGGGAATGTTGTTATGACCACCACCAATCACACACCCACGCCGACAATGCTTGCTTCCAGATTTCCCACAACGGCTCCCACGAGTGATGCGATGTTTTTAAAGAGATGTGGAGCCTGCCCGCACTTTGCCCCACCACAACCACACGCGCCCTTTATCGCGGCCGGGGTAGTCGCTCGTGTTGCCGCCCGCGTGCACCGCGAAGTCGAGAAACTCCGGCCCGGTGTATCGGCTGCCGCGCCGGGAGGTCGAATCGACCCGGCGACTTCGAGCTCTCATCCAGGGGGTGGTTCAGTGTTACTAATTTTAACGACCCCGGATGGATGATGGGTTGGATCAACCCTCATCCCGGATTAGAAAGCGTTCCAGAATCCATGCATAGGCATGGCTTTTATTCCCTGCTCGCTTCTGTGGCGCCCAGCACGCATTGTGTATGCCTCGTCAACACGTTTACAGACACGGATACGTACATATACACCGTGCACATACACACAGCGTACACACAGCATGCCGCACACTGAATTAATTACACACGTGAACTGTCCGCGGTAGCTCGGGTCGCCGGTTCGTAGCGCAGTACGCTAACCACTGCGCCACTGCTCGCCATAACACAAATATCCCCCGTGTAGCCTGTAGCAGACTGTTGGGGCAAGTGCTTTTAGCGAGCACCTATGAAGGCCTGAACGGCACACGAAGGGGTGGGTGGCCAGCACCACGCCCGGCCGCCTTTGTCCCCCTAGGGGCGATATTTACACATCGCACTAGGCAATAATTTGAGACTGAGTCGACCTAGGGGAGGCCCAGGACCGGTTCAGATAATCGTCACTGGTGTTGGCCGTGAGCGGGAAACGGACTCGGTACGTCAAGTTCGTAGCCCAGCACGCTAACCGCTACACCACCGCTCCCCATAACACACACAGACACACAGACACACACGCACACATACACACACAGACACACACACACAGATTACACACACACATAGATGCACACACACAGACACACACATACATACACAGACAAACACACAGACACACACACACAGATGCACACACACACAGATGCACACACACACAGATGCACATACACACACAGACACACACACACAGACATACACACACAGATACACACACAGATGCACACACACACACACACAGACACACACATACACACAGAGACACACACACAGACACACACACACACAGATGCACACACACAGATGCACACACACAGACACACACGCACACAGACACACACAGACACACACAGACACAGACACACACAGACACACACAGACACACACGCACACAGACACACACGCACACAGACACACACAGACACACACGCACACAGACACACACAGACACACACGCACACAGACACACACAGACACACACAGACACACACGCACACACACGCACACAGACACACACAGACACACACAGACACACACGCACACACACGCACACAGACACACACAGACACACACACAGACACACACGCACACAGACACACACAGACACACACAGACACACACGCACACAGACACACACACAGACACACACGCACACAGACACACACAGACACACACGCACACAGACACACACAGACACACACAGACACACACGCACACAGACACACACACAGACACACACGCACACAGACACACACGCACACAGACACACACAGACACACACGCACACAGACACACACAGACACACACGCACACAGACACACACAGACACACACGCACACAGACACACACAGACACACACGCACACAGACACACACAGACACACACGCACACAGACACACAGAGACACAGACGCACACAGACACACACAGACACACAGACACACACGCACACAGACAACAACAACAACCGCCATTCGCCACTAAGTGGCGGTGACGTCACCACGACGCTTGTGCCAGGCTATGTGCACCGTGAGGCCACGTGAAGTGTCGAACGCCCGCTGGCAGGAGGTCACTGGGCAGACCCAGGTGCCACGGGTCGACTGACTGAGATGACTGGCTGATGCACCACCTGTGCCCCCTACTGTGCCAACCTGCTGTGCTTTAGCCACCCGGCGCTCCGCTCGTTGTTCTGAGCGTCGCTCCTCCGCCCTCCGTTGTTGTTGGAGGGCGACTGCCTCCAACTGCCCAGTAGCATCCTTCACGAGCCTCCTCCACAGAGGCCGATCTTGACACCGCTGGTACCAGTCATCGGCAAGTCCACTCAGCTCCACGTCCTCCTGTACCACATCACTCCATCTCTTCTCTAGCCCGTGCCGCGCCCGCTTAGCCCCCTCAATCCGGCCAAACAAAAGCTGTTTCGGCATGCGGTGGCTGGGCATGCGGGCTACATGACCCAGCCATCGCAGCCTTCCCCGCCGGAGGAGCTCACCGATGGGACCTTGCCCAGATCTTTCAAGGATTTGTGAGCTCCTCACACAATCCAGTCTGGTTAAACCCAGGATGGATCGTAGGCAGGCCAGCCTAAATGTTTCTAACCGGCGAAGATGTTCCATTAGGGGAGTCCACGTTTCGCAAGCGTAGAGAAGGGAGGGAATGACCGTGGCCGAGAAGACCTGAAGCTTAGTGCGGAGCGACAGACCAGGTAGCTTCCACACAGCGTTACGCAACCGATGAAAAGATATTGCCGCTCGACTGATTCGGAGTGAGACCTCTGCTGTTAAACTGGAGCCAGTCATAAGCACACTGCCCAGGTATGGGAAACTCTCCACTCTCTCCACAACTGCCCCATCACCGATTGGGAGCTGTGGGGGTGGAGTGTCCGATGGTACAAAATACCCAGGCAGGTGCTTAGTTTTGGTGGGGCTGATGGTAAGGCCCCACACAGACACACACAGAGACACACACACACAGATGCACACACACAGATGCACACACACAGACACACACGCACACAGACACACACAGACACACACAGACACAGACGCACACAGACACACACAGACACACACAGACACACACGCACACAGACACACACGCACACAGACACACACAGACACACACGCACACAGACACACACAGACACAAACGCACACAGACACACACAGACACACACAGACACACACGCACACAGACACACACAGACACACACGCACACAGACACACACAGACACACACACAGACACACACGCACACAGACACACACAGACACACACAGACACACACGCACACAGACACACACAGACACACACGCACACAGACACACACAGACACACACACAGACACACACGCACACACAGACACACACAGACACACACGCACACACAGACACACACAGACACACACAGACACACACGCACACAGACACACACAGACGCACACAGACACACACAGACACACACACAGACACACACGCACACACACGCACACAGACACACACAGACACACACACACACAGACACACACACAGACACACACAGACACACACAGACACACACACGCACACACACACACAGACACACACAGACACACACGCACACAGACACACACAGACACACACGCACACAGACACACACAGACACACACACAGACACACACAGACACACACAGACACACACACACAGACACACACACAGACACACATACACAGACACACACACACAGACACACACACACAGACACACAGACACACACACAGACACGTGCGCGCCGCGGGTTCCGGAGCGCACCTCCACCGTTCTGGTAGCACACGTAAGGGAACCGCCACACGTTGCCCAGGTCCACGGCGAAGCCGACGACGGACAGCAGGAAGTCCACCTTCCTCCCCCACGTTTCCCGCTGAGCTTCCCCAGCGCTGCCCGGCGGTGCCGAGGGCTCGCGACTCAACGCGAGACCTCGGGACTCGAGCAGAGCGGCGGACGCGTCGGGCGGTGCTGCTGCTGCTGTTGCTGACGGCGGTGCTGGTGATGATGGCGGTGCTTGCGCGTCTCTGAGCGATATGAGCTCGGTCTCCCGGGCGGGGATCTGTCCCGGTGAGTAGCGAGGGGCGAAGCCATTCGCTCTGCTGGTGGCGGCGTGAGCGGGGATCATGGCTCCTGGTGCACGGCGCGCACCTGAGCCCGGCTGGAGAGCCGCGGCACGGGGGACACTCGGAGCTGGGGGGGGGGGGAGCGAGGGGGTAAAGGGGAGGGAGGGAGTGGGGTGGTGAAGGGGGAGTGAAGTTGAGAGAGAGGCGGGAGGGGGGGTAAAGAGAGCGGGAGTGATGCTGGGAGGTGGGGGAGATGGGTATGGGAGGGACGAAAGGAGGGGGGGGGCAGCTTGGTGATGGGAGGGGTGGAGGGGAGGGATGAGATAGGGAGGGTCGGGGGGGGGAGTGGGGAGATGGGAGGGAAGAGTGAGAGTTGGGGGAGCTGGAAGATGGGGGGGGGGGCAGAGGGGAGGGTGGGGGGTGGTGTCTGGCGACACAGCAGGAGGTGGTGCTGGGTAAGCGGCGGAGTGTTCCCAGGTGTGAGCTGATACAGCAGAGCATTGCCCCTTGTTGTGTTGAAGAGCAGCCCGCGGAAGAGATATCACAGAACTACTTCCGAGATCCCTTCAAGTGCCCCTTGTTCTCAGCACACTATGGAGCGCTGCGCTCGCTCACGCGTCCCGCTCGAGATGAATATCGTTGCGCGGCAATCAACCCGAGGTTTTTCATTCTTTGAACCTAGAAATTTGCCGATTTTTTAAGCGATAACCTCGACCAGGTGGAATGCGTGCGCGCGCGCGTGCGTGTGTGTGTGTGTGGGCGGTCATTGCACACTCGAGCTGAGACCATCAACTTGCTGAGCTTAAGAATCCGGTTTAATCGAAGGTGACGCAAACTCAAAACGCAGCCCGGATTCGAACCCAACGCGCTCAGCGACGCCGGCACGGCGGACGAAGGCGAGGAGGTGCATTGGTGGCGGCTTGTCAACGTGAGCCAGTGGCGGGGAAACTCCACGTTCCGATGGCAGCGTAGAGTCTCTCAATAGGACGACCGCCTTTGATGTTTCTCACAAAGTGGTACTCGTTTTATCGACCCCGGAGGAACGGTTGGCTGAGTGAACCCCCAACCTGGATAAAAGCTCGCGGTCTCCCTATTGCACGACCGCTGAGCCGCGGGGCACGCTGGAAACCTGGAACCCGGCCACGGAATCCATGAAATCATCGCTGCGCAGATTCCGATCGGGAGGTTCCATCGCTCGCCATGACATCAGCGGTCTCCTCTTCCGTCGGAGCGGATCGCTTATTGCGAGTTAGCGCCAATTAACTCGCTGAGTAGCGCCGAGTCAGATAACGACGCGTGGGGAGGTGATGAGTGGCGGGGGGGGGGGGGGGGGGGGTGAGCGCAGCAGCTGAGTGGGCGAGCTGGGGCTGATTTTGTCAGAGTGTTGCTGGACACAAAAGTGCGCTCCGTGCTGTTCAATTTCACTCCGGGGGTGGTGGGGGGTGAGGGGTGGGGGTGGTTGGGACGCGCCCGACGGTGACGTGGAGGCGCGACCATCATCAACCTTCGCCAATTTTCGGTGTCACTCGGTTTGTTGTCACACAGAGGTGGGGTGTTTACAGGCAAGTTGTCGCAGTGCGTTGCCAGGGTGCTGATTGATGGTGGTGATGGTGAGTAGGAGGGTGGTGGCGGTGGTGGTGGTGAGTGGAGTGTGAGTGGAGTGGAGCGTGAGTGGAGTGTGAGTGGAGTGTGAATATGAGTGGAGTGTGAGTGGAGTGTGAGCAGAGTGTGAGTGGAGTGTGAGTGGAGTGGTGTTTGAGTGGAGTGTGAGTGGAGTGTGAGTGGAGTGTGAGTGGAGTGTGAGTGTGAGTGGAGTGTGAGTGGAGTGTGAGTGGAGTGTGAGTGTGAGTGGAGTGTGAGTGTGAGTGGAGTGAGAGTGGAGTGTGAGTGGCGTGTGAGTGGAGTGGTGTTTGAGTGGAGTGAGAGTGGAGTGTGAGTGGAGTGAGAGTGGAGTATGAGTGGAGTGTGAGTGAGTGGAGTGAGAGTGGAGTGTGAGTGGAGTGGAGTGTGCATGGAGTGTGAGTGGAGTGTGAGTGGAGTGAGAGTAGAGTGTGAGTGGAGTGTGAATATGAGTGGAGTGTGAGTGGAGTGTGAGTGTGAGTGGAGTGTGAGTGTGAGTGGAGTGTGAGTGGAGTGTGAGTGGAGTGGAGTGTGAGTGGAGTGTGAGTGGAGTGTGAGTGGAGTGAGAGTGGAGTGTGAGTGGCGTGTGAGTAGAGTGGTGTTTGAGTGGAGTGTGAGTGGAGTGTGAGTGGAGTGAGAGTGGAGTGTGAGTGGAGTGAGAGCGGAGTGTGAGTGGAGTGTGAGTGGAGTGTGAGTGGAGTGTGAGTGAGTGGAGTGAGAGTGGAGTGTGAGTGGAGTGGAGTGTGCATGGAGTGTGAGTGGAGTGTGAGTGGAGTGAGAGTGGAGTGTGAGTGGAGTGGAGTGTGAGTGGAGTGAGCGTGGAGTGTGAGTGGAGTGTGAGTGGAGTGGAGTGTGATTGCAGTGAGTGGAGTGAGTGTGGAGTGTGAGTGGAGTGTGAGTGGAGTGAGAGTGGAGTGTGAGTGGTGTGTGAGTGGAGTGAGAGTGGAGTGTGAGTGGAGTGAGAGTGGAGTGTGAGTGGTGTGTGAGTGGAGTGAGAGTGGAGTGTGAGTGCAGTGAGTGGAGTGAGTGTGGAGTGTCAGTGGAATGTGAGTCGAGTGTGAGTGGAGTGGAGTGTGAGTGGAGTGAGAGTGGAGTGTGAGTGCAGTGAGTGGAGTGAGTGTGGAGTGTGAGTGGAATGTGAGTCGAGTGTGAGTGGAGTGTGAGTGGAGTGGAGTGTGAGTGGGCTGTGAATGTAAGTGGAGTGTGAGTGGAGTGTGAGTGTGAGTGGGGTGTGAGTAGAGTGGAGTGTGAGTAGAGTGGAGGGTGGGTGGAGTGTGAGTGGAGTGGAGTGAAAGTGGAGTGAGAGTGGAGTGTGAGTGGAGTGAGAGTGGAGTGGAGTGAGAGTAGAGTGGAGTGTGAGTGGAGTGTGAGTCGATTGTGAGTGGAGTGAGAGTGGAGTGTGAGTGGAATGTGAGTGGAGTGTGTGTGGAGTGTGAGTGGTGCGTGAGTAGAGTGGAGTGTGAATTGGAGTGTGAGTGGAGTGAGAGTGGTGTGTGAGTGGAGTGTGAGTGGAGTGGAGTGTGAGTGGAGTGTGAGTGGAATGTGAGTGGAGTGTGAGTGGAGTGTGAGTGGAATGTGAGTGGAGTGAGAGTGGTGTTTGAGTGGAGTTTGAGTGGAGTGGAGTGTGAGTGGAGTGTGAGTGGAGTGTGAGTGGAGCGTGCGTGGAGGGGAGTGAGTGGAGTGTGAGTGGAGTGAGAGTGGAATGTGAGTGTGAGTGGAGTGTGAGTGGAGTGTGAGTGGAGTGAGAGTGGAGTGGAGTGTGAGTGGAGTGTGAGTGGAGTGAGAGTGGTGTGTGAGTGGAGTGGAGTGTGAGTGGAGTGTGAGTGGAGTGAGAGTGGAGTGAGAGTGGAGTGTGAGTGGAGTGGAGTGTGAGTGGAGTGAGAGTGGAGTGGAGTGAGAGTGGAGTGGAGTGTGAGTGGAGTGTGAGTCGAGTGTGAGTGGAGTGAGAGTGGAGTGGAGTGAGGGTGGAGTGTGAGTGGAATGTGAGTGGAGTGTGAGTAGAGTGGAGTGTGAGTAGAGTGGAGTGTGGGTGGAGTGTGAGTGGAGTGGAGTGAATGTGGAGTGAGAGTGGAGTGGAGTGTGAGTGGAGTGAGAGTGGAGTGAGAGTAGAGTGGAGTGTGAGTGGAGTGTGAGTCGATTGTGAGTGGAGTGAGAGTGGAGTGGGAGTGGAGTTTGAGTGGAATGTGAGTGGAGTGTGTGTGGAGTGTGAGTAGTGCGTGAGTAGAGTGGAGTGTGAATTGGAGTGTGAGTGGAGTGAGAGTGGTGTGTGAGTGGAGTGTGAGTGGAGTGGAGTGTGAGTGGAGTGTGAGTAGAGCATGCGTGGAGTGTGAGTGGAGTGTGAGTGGAGTGGAGTGTGAGTGGAGTGGAGTGTGAGTGGAGTGTCAGTGGAATGTGACTGGAGTGTGAGTAGAGTGTGAGTGGAGCGTGAGTAGAATGGAGTGTGAGTGGAGTATGAGTGGAGTGTGAGTAGAGCATGCGTGGAGTGGAGTGTGAGTGGAGTGTGAGTGGAGTGAGAGTGGTGTTTTAGTGGAGTGTGAGTGGAGTGGAGTGTGAGTGGAGTGTGAGTGGAATGTGAGTGGAGTGTGAGTGGAGCATGCGTGGAGGGGAGTGTGAGTGGAGTGTGAGTGGAGTGAGAGTGTAATGTGAGTGTGAGTGGAGTGTGAGTGGAGTGAGAGTGGAGTGAGAGTGGAGTGGAGTGTGAGTGGAGTGTGAGTGGAGTGAGAGTGGAGTGAGAGTGGAGTGGAGTGAGAGTGGAGTGAGAGTGGAGTGAGAGTGGAGTGTGAGTGGAGTGCAGTGTCAGTGGAGTTTGAGTGGAGTGTGAGTGGAGTGAGAGTGGAGTGTGAGTGGCATGTGAGTGGAGTGTGAGTGGAGTGTGAGTGGAGTGAGAGTGGTGTGTGAGTGGAGTAGAGTGTGAGTGGAGTGTGAGTGGAGTGGAGTGTGAGTGGAGTGTGAGTGGAGTGAGAGTGGAGTGTGAGTGGAGTGTGAGTGGAGTGAGAGTGGTGTGTGAGTGGCGTGGAGTGTGAGTGGAGTGAGAGTGGCATGTGAGTGGAGTGAGAGTGGAGTGTGAGTGGAGTGAGAGTGGAGTGTGAGTGGAGTGTGAGTGGAGTGGAGTGTGAGTGGAGTTAGAGTGGAGTGGAGTGTGAGTGGAGTGTGAGTAGAGTGGAGTGGAGTGTGAGTGGAGTGGAGTGTGAGTGGAGTGTGAGTGGAGTGTGAGTGGAGTGTAAGTGGAGTGAGAGTGGAGTGTGAATGGAGTGGAGTGTGAGTGGAGTGTGAGTGGAATGTGAGTGGAGTGTGAGTGGAGTGTGAGTGGAGCGTGAGTAGAGTGGAGTGTGAGTGGAGTGTGAGTGGAGTGTGAGTGGAGCGTGCGTGGAGTGGAGTGTGAGTGAAGTGTGAGTGGAGTGTGAATGGATCGAGGAATCTTATTAATTTAAATCATACCATGCGAAAACATTTCACCGTGACGAGATCCTGGGAATGTTGATGATAACGATGATAACGATGATGGCGG